ATCATGCAGTCTATCAGTAGCTCCCTCCGAGTGTCTTCTCCAGATCACTGAGGCCCACGCGCCAGTGCCTTTCTTTGACCTGCTGATGGAGCCCATCCATCCCTTTCCACCTGAGTGAGAAGACCCTCTGCCACCCCAGGGTAAGCCTTAAAGATGTCTTGAACCCAGAGGACACTCATATTCAGGTGTCCATTTTAAGCATCTTTAAAATACACTATTAAAAACAGCCCTTCCCTGTCTTAGTGCCACCAATGGCCCGATTCCACCCATTCTGAATGGAACAGTGGAGACTGCCAGCACTTTCCTTGTTTTTCACATCTCCCCACTCCCGTCCATTTTGCTGTTATCAACAATAGCTGCCTTGACTCAGCCAAGGCTCCTGTTGCGGATGGATAGCAGAGGGCACTGAGGCAGTCCTGTGTGATTCCATGATCAATTCCTGTTTTTTCACTGTCCTTCCAAACCAGCAGGCGTTGGGAAATTAGGGAAAAAATTAAATTCTCACCAATGGTTGCTGTTAGAGTTAAATCAATAAAGATCTTGAATATCAACTTGGTGGTTTTGTGTGTGTGTTTATTTTTTTTAGGTTTTTGCCTTAGGGCCTGTGCAGTCCCTGGAGAGAGAGAGTGAGAAGGAAAAGTGAGAAGTAAACACCCCACCCCCACCCCCAGGGTGGGTGGCCATGCTGCAGTTCCTTTTCCATTCTCCCAGGATCTTGGGAGGATCACTCACGTGCACCATGCGTGAGTTTTCAAGCTACCAGGTCCATGACTCAAACAGTGGTTGGCCATGTGGGAGTCCAGCAGCCTAACCACTACCCCATCTGCTGGCCCCATTAGTGTTTTAACTTTAGAAAAGCTTCCAGTGTGGCTAGCTAATGTCAGTGGTGGTTCAGTCAGCTGGATCTTACATGGCCAACTGTGCAGTTTCAGTCCCGGACCTGGCAGCTTAAAAACAGATCTGTGCTGTGTGTGCGTGCCCAAATCCTGAGAATAGGATGGAGAAGGGATTGTAGGGTGGCCATTCCCGCAACAGATGATTTCTCACTTTGCCTCTCTTGCCCTTTCTCGCTCTCTTCAAAAAGCACGTACATCCTATAACAAATTTGTTTTAAAAAGCTTCAAGTGAAACCCTGTTGATGGTTATTTCAAACCATTTTGAAATAACTACCCTGTTTAGGCAGTAGGGAGATGGGCAGTTATTTGGACATTTTATGGATCTGTTCTCCACACTTGCAGAGCACCTGCTTTGTCATCGGGGCCTGTTTATGCAAGGAGATGTTGTGACCCTTGCCTCGGGAGCAGGACCCTGCTCTGGTATGGAGGATTCTGGAGGTGAGTGTGTGTGTGCTGGGCTGAATGCACCTGAGGAAGCCCAGACAACTTTTCCTTTCTCTGAAGAGGGGTTGCGTGTGCCCCTCGAGCATTTGTCAGCCAGCTATCATGTGTGATGTCTTAAACTAAGCTGTGTTGCTATTAATCCAGCAAGTCTCACATTTTAGGACTGAGAATGTGGGTGCAGTTATTTTATGTTTTGGGGGTTGCGAACAGAGGTCCACAGGACAAAACGGTGTGAGGGAGCAGACGTTCTGGGCACAGGCTTTGGAGTCAGACGGCTCCAGTCCAGGCTGTACGGCTTAGTAGCCATGTTCTCTCCAAGATCCTTAGTGTGCAAGCCTCGGTTTCCTCTGAAACAGTTGAGAAAAAACTTTCTTCTAGGTCATTGTGAGTCTTGGGTGAGATCATGGGGAGCAGTTAGCCTGTGTAAAGAGTTCAATAAATGATAATGCTAGGGATTAGCAGGTGGCGTGGTGGTTGAGGCGCTGGGCACCCCCACATGAGTGACCACGGTTCATGTCCTGGACCTGGTGCCTTGCTTTCTTACTTTCCCTCTCTCTGTCTCTGGTCAAATAAAATGAATAAATAAACCTCTAAAAGCAAATGATAGTACTTCTTAAAGGACTTGAGCTCAGTCCAGTTGGCATGAGCAACCAGAGGTTACTCATGGGCCTCCTTTTCCCTCAAAGTAAGTGCAGCAGGCTGGATGGTTCTGGCCACTGCCTAGTTGGGGGCCTCCAGAAGTACTGAAGAATCTTTAAGGAAAGATGGGGCCCAAATTCTTGGAGGTACTTTTATACATCCTTCACCCTGCCCTAAAAGTAATTAGGACAGAGGGAGAGAATCTTACTGTTAATAAAAAGGAGGCTTTTCAAGATGGAGAGAAACCCCAGGTTGTGGGATTATCTGAGGCCATGACTACTTCCCACACCTCTGCCCATGCCAGGCCTACCCATTCCCCAGCCAAGAAGAGCAGTCAGTGCATTCCATTTTCCCTTTCTACTACTGACTTGGCCCTGCTTGAAGAACAGTGGAGCTTGGCCTTGAGAGCAAGTTGAAATAACTGAATACTCTTAAAATCCCAGGTCCTGGGGCCCAGCAGGTGGCATGGTGAAGGATGCTGGACTCCTACATGGCCAGCTGTGATTTGGGTCCTGGGTCTGGCAGCTTGCTTTCTCTTTCTCTCCCTCTCTGGTCAAATTAAAATGAATAAAGTTAAATGATTCTTTAAAAAAAAAACAAAACAGGTTCTAGCAGGACAGTTCTTAGAGGTATTTTCTCTATGATTTCCAAAGCCTTCAGCAAACACAGGATCCAGAGTATGACTCAGGTGGGTAAGCTTTGCTGACATAGCAGACCACCAAGCTTTCAGCAGGGGTCACTCAAATTTTCAAGTTTCACTACTTCGTGCCTGTTTCTGTTTAACATGAGGCCCTGCCCTGTCATCAGGGAGGGTGGCTCTTGAGTCAGTGGAGCTCTCTGACTATAAACACTCCCACAAGCTGTAGCCACAAATAGCTTGACCTTTTGCGTTCCTAGCCTCAGCCATATAAGAACTGTTGGGTTCCTACAGTTCTTAAAGTTTAGATGCTCTCAAGCCCTGGAGCAGGATTTTTCACGCCCAAGAATTTCAGTTGGGTAGTGGGATTGAGTTCAAATGTTTGGTTCCAAAGGCTAAGACCTTGATCCAAAACTAGGTGAGCAGAACTTCAAGATACTTTTGAGAACAGTGCCCTGACCAGAGTTCACTCTTGGTCCTGCCACTCCTAGCTGTGTGGTCAGGCCACTTTTAGGAAAGGAGACCCGACAAGCTGCTCTCGCAAGGTTGCCCAGCTCTCTTCTCTAAGTAGAGTCAGATATACAATTGTCCTATAATTTTGAATCACAGTTAGACCTGGATTGGTCAGTTTCTAGTCCAGCAACAAACAACCAGGTCAGCCTTGTTGATGAATCAAGGCCTTGAGGTTTCTCAGGCTCAGTCCTGGCTCCAGCAAACCCAACCTCTGCCTGGGCCAGCATTACTGCTTAACTCAACCAAGGCTGCATTGAATCATACCCCAAACTCACCAGAGTTCCCACAACTGGAAGAATTTTGCTAAGGCTGGAGCACAAGTGTCTTGGGCTTCTTAGAGAAGCAGGGTAGGGGTAGGTTTATGTTGGACTCACATTCCCAATAAATTGGCCTCCTGTGCCCACAGCCCCTGTTTGGGCAAAGCTCAACAAGGTCAAGCTGGTAAGAGTAGAATCACTGCCTTTGTGTTCGGTGGTAAAGCTTCCTACAAGGAAGCTTGGTTTGCTGGTGCTGCTTGGGTATTGCTCAGTGGACCCTGAAATTAAGCCCCTCTTAGACAAGGTTAAAACTAAAGGAGATATGGTTAGGAAATGGGGATATGGCAGAGACTAGACTTTGCCGGCTTTGTAAACTTCAGAAGGAGATGGGGACATGGGTTCAGAGGACATTCTACGGCTTAAAGTTCATGGCTCTTCTTAGCCTGCCAACAGTGAATAAGAATGCATTAGGACCCACCAGCTTTCATTTTTTAAAAAGAATTATTTTATTTAACTTCATTATTTATTTATTTATTCATTTGTTTATTTCCATTTTTACCAGAGAGAAAGAGAAAGATAGAGAGTGAGAAAGCAAGTCTCCAGGTCCAGAATTCGAATCGGGGTCGGTCATGTGGGAATCTAGCACCCTGAACCACCACACCACCTGCCGGCCCCACCAGCTTTCATTTTATAAGAGAAGGCTGCGCAGTGACTTACTCACCTGAAGTCAGAAAGCTTCTCAGTGGCTGGGTTGTGACCATAACCCAAGTATGCCATCTAGGTAAGGCCTTCACCCCTGCTGGACGAGAAGCCCCGGGGCCTCACTAATAGCACGCATTGAGAGACTGAGGTGAAATGTCACCAACTTCAGTAGACTCAGGGTGTGTATGCCAAAGCAGGCTGACTTGGGGATGTCTGAGAGCTCTAATGTAGTCCAATAGGGCCAGTCCTCTTGGATGAGCTCCTGTTTCCCTTCAAAGGCACCAGCTGGCCCAGGAGAACTAGACAATGGCTTCATTGTCTGTGCAATTCATTAGCAGAGACCTACTCCAGGGAGCCACAGAACAAAGCCAACAGATTGCCACTGGCCATCCAGAAAGACGGGGGCTCCCCTGGCTGGGTCTGACTGCAGCTGAGAGCTGACTGACTTTTTAAATTTAATATACTGATATTTAATTGGGGGTGGGGGCAGGTCACAGACCACTTTTGAGAATACATGAAAGTTACAGACAACCTTGTCCATTGCAAAAATAAATGTACATGGACATAGTCCCAACTTTTACATACTATTTTGGGGGATTCACAGGTTTAAAAAAAAACTGAGGTAAAGAACTCTTGCACCTGTGCTTTCACTTGCCACTGCCTTCTCTAACAAGAAGACCCAGCAAGTCCCATGCACAGACCTCCTCCCTCTTCCTAATGGCAGCCTCAGTGCTTGGCCAGAATCTAGGCCTTTCATTTACAGGCTGGGCAGCCCTCCCTCTTCAGTTCTGGTGGGCAGAGCAATCTCTGCCCTCTTTCGGACTCCTTGCTGGGTTAGATGGCTATCATGTCTCCCAGGAGCTCCCCGGCCTTCCAGAGTGCAGGCAGATCCAGCATCCCTCCAGGAGTGCGTCAGAGGCACCCACATTCTTCCACGATCATATCTTTGTGGTGATCCAGGAGGACCCTGCCATTGTCCACATACAGCATGCTCAGCGGCTTGGTCTTCACTGGAGCACAGCAAGTGGAAGGGACTCGATGGGGCTGATAGCGTTTCAGCAGACTCTGAAAGGGAGAAGAGGGTCAGTTCATAGCAGTATTATTTTTGAGTAAAGAGTAAAACAGTTGGGGGCCAGTACGTGGCATGGTGATCAAGGTGTTGGACTCCCACATGGCCAATAATGGTTCAAGCCCTGGACCTGGCAGTTTGCTTTCTTACTTTCTCCAATGTGCCCTATAGCAAATTTTTAAATAATTATAATAATAAAATAAATCTCTAAAAGAAAAGTGAATAAAATAGTTAAAGAGTTAAAAATCCATTTTTGGATATAAAAATTGAAGGAAAAAAAACAATTCTTTAAAATGTGCCAGAGGATGGATACATCTGCCTGAGAGAAAGAAAATGAGAAAGCACTTCCCCATGGGGGAATGACACATTGCATTTTCTTCTCCATTTCTCCTTCCTTTTGGGATTTTGGGCACTCATGAACATGTGCCCAGCATATTTCTCAAGCCTCCAGGTCTTGAACCACGCAGTCAGCCATCCAAGATCCGGCCACCTTAAACACCACGCCACTGGCTATACCAAGAATTATTTTTCGCAAGGGAACCAGGATGCGAATACACTTAGGCCAACTCTAATGTCTAACATGAAATTAGCTCTGTGGTTTTTGTTCTTTAAACAAAAAAAAACCTTTAAAACAAAAAGATTCTATGGGACCAGCAGGTGGTATGGTGGTTAAGGTGCTGGATACTCCCACATGGCCGACCAGGGTTCAAGTCCTGAATCTGGTGGCTTTCTCACTTCCTCTCTTTCTCACTGTCACCCTCTGTCTCTCTCTGGTCAAACTAAAAAATAAGTGAATGAATAAATAAAGTAAAATAAATAATTATTAAAAAAAAAGATTCTAAAAGTTGGCTCAGCCTCTGTGGCGTGGTCAGTAGCCTACTGAACTGCAGTGCTGAAAGCCACGCGGCTGCCTGCAGCTGTGAATCCCAGCCTGGTGGACCTGAAACATGCCAGGTATACACGTGTGCCCAAGATTCAGACAAGCTGGAGGGCTGAGGGAAGGGAATCGTAGTGTGACAAGATCCTGTCGGGTGCTTCACTTTCTCTCTTACATGTGCACACTATCACAATAAAAGCAGACTTACAAAAAAGATTCTAAAAGTTACATGTGCCTGGGAAGAAAATAGTTCATTTTCATGTTCTGTTGTTCAAGGCTACCCTACAGAGCCTGACTCTGTGTAGGCTCTGAGGATGTAATAGTCATCTCAATATCCCTCAGACCTTGCACAGGATCTGACACACTAATATGCTCAAGTGACTGTGAGTGAATGAACACATTAATAGCAAAGCTGTGGGGCCAGCAGGTGGTGCTGTAGTTAAGGCACTGGACTCCCACGTGGCTGACTGTGGTTCAAGTCCTATACCTGCCGGCTTGCCTTCTCACTTTCCCTCTCTCTTTCTCTGGTGAGCACACGGGTCCTATCACAAAGTAAAACATAATGATAAAATAAATAAAATTAAATAAGTCCTTAAAAAGAATTAGCAAAGCTGGAGTCCTGTACCCTTATCCAACAGTACCTCCCCAGCTCACCACCTCCCTTTTTCCCAGGCCTTGGCAACACACCTGGATGTATGCGTGGTTGGTTGGATGAAACTCCTCTCCCACGGGGTTAGGACACTCGCCTTCGCAGCGATAGGCATTATACTGCTTGGGATAGATGATCCAGGAACCCCATCCTATCAGGTTGAAGTCCACCTGGAACTTAACCTTCCGACACAGTTGGCTTCTGTCTGGCAATTGATGTCGGCGGTGCCTCCTGCCCCTCTCCCGGGAGAGCTGCCCCTCCTGGGCCCGCCAGGAGCTCTCAGCTTCCCACAGCAGGGTAGAGCCGCCTAGGCGCCTCAAACCTTTCATTTTTGTCAAATATCAACTTTGAACAGTATTTATTATACTGAGAGTCTAAAAATGATCCTATAAAGGGTTTTCTGTGTTTTTGTTCTGATACAGACAATGGGGTGTACATGAGGTAACACTGGTGATGAGCCTTATTACAGATATGCTCTTGAATGTGACAGCATATGAACACCCAATACAAACACGACTCAAGCTCCACTTAACCAAAGGAAGTTGGGCAGTAACTAGGGGCTAAAACAACACACCTGTATTCAATCATCAATGACATTCTCCACAGGGTCATTCAGCAGGTTAAGCCACAGTGGAAGTTTTTTCAATGTTAAAATTAGGAGGCTTCGGGGCCAGCAGACGGCATAGTGGCTAAGGTGTTGGACTCCCACATGGCCAATAATGGTTCAAGCCCTGGACCTGGCAGTTTGCTTTCTTACTTTCTCCAATGTGCCTTATAGCAAATTTTTAAATAATTATAATAATAAAATAAATCTCTAAAAGAAAAGTGAATAAAATAGTTAAAGAGTTAAAAATCCATTTTTGGATATAAAAATTGAAGGAAAAAAAACAATTCTTTAAAATGTGCCAGAGGATGGATACATTAAAATAAATCTCTAAAAGAAAAGTGAATAAAATAGTTAAAGAGTTAAAAATCCATTTTTGGATATAAAAATTGAAGGAAAAAAAACAATTCTTTAAAATGTGCCAGAGGATGGATACATCTGCCTGAGAGAAAGAAAATGAGAAAGCACTTCCCCATGGGGGAATGACACATTGCATTTTCTTCTCCATTTCTCCTTCCTTTTGGGATTTTGGGCACTCATGAACATGTGCCCAGCATATTTCTCAAGCCTCCAGGTCTTGAACCACGCAGTCAGCCATCCAAGATCCGGCCACCTTAAACACCACGCCACTGGCTATACCAAGAATTATTTTTCGCAAGGGAACCAGGATGCGAATACACTTAGGCCAACTCTAATGTCTAACATGAAATTAGCTCTGTGGTTTTTGTTCTTTTAAAAAAAAAATCTTTAAAACAAAAAGATTCTATGGGACCAGCAGGTGGTATGGTGGTTAAGGTGCTGGATACTCCCACATGGCCGACCAGGGTTCAAGTCCTGAATCTGGTGGCTTTCTCACTTCCTCTCTTTCTCACTGTCACCCTCTGTCTCTCTCTGGTCAAACTAAAAAATAAGTGAATGAATAAATAAAGTAAAATAAATAATTATAAAAAAAAATGGTCAAATTAAAAAATGAATGAATGAATAAATAAAGTAAAATAAATAATTATAAAAAAAAAAAAAAGATTCTAAAAGTTGGCTCAGCCTCTGTGGCGTGGTCAGTAGCCTACTGAACTGCAGTGCTGAAAGCCACGCGGCTGCCTGCAGCTGTGAATCCCAGCCTGGTGGACCTGAAACATGCCAGGTATACACGTGTGCCCAAGATTCAGACAAGCTGGAGGGCTGAGGGAAGGGAATCGTAGTGTGACAAGATCCTGTCGGGTGCTTCACTTTCTCTCTTACATGTGCACACTATCACAATAAAAGCAGACTTACAAAAAAGATTCTAAAAGTTACATGTGCCTGGGAAGAAAATAGTTCATTTTCATGTTCTGTTGTTCAAGGCTACCCTACAGAGCCTGACTCTGTGTAGGCTCTGAGGATGTAATAGTCATCTCAATATCCCTCAGACCTTGCACAGGATCTGACACACTAATATGCTCAAGTGACTGTGAGTGAATGAACACATTAATAGCAAAGCTGTGGGGCCAGCAGGTGGTGCTGTAGTTAAGGCACTGGACTCCCACGTGGCTGACTGTGGTTCAAGTCCTATACCTGCCGGCTTGCCTTCTCACTTTCCCTCTCTCTTTCTCTGGTGAGCACACGGGTCCTATCACAAAGTAAAACATAATGATAAAATAAATAAAATTAAATAAGTCCTTAAAAAGAATTAGCAAAGCTGGAGTCCTGTACCCTTATCCAACAGTACCTCCCCAGCTCACCACCTCCCTTTTTCCCAGGCCTTGGCAACACACCTGGATGTATGCGTGGTTGGTTGGATGAAACTCCTCTCCCACGGGGTTAGGACACTCGCCTTCGCAGCGATAGGCATTATACTGCTTGGGATAGATGATCCAGGAACCCCATCCTATCAGGTTGAAGTCCACCTGGAACTTAACCTTCCGACACAGTTGGCTTCTGTCTGGCAATTGATGTCGGCGGTGCCTCCTGCCCCTCTCCCGGGAGAGCTGCCCCTCCTGGGCCCGCCAGGAGCTCTCAGCTTCCCACAGCAGGGTAGAGCCGCCTAGCCGCCTCTGCTCCTGTGAGAGGTTGGAATAGAGCATGAGGAACACGTCGGAGACCAATGGGGCGCCAGGCCGCTGCCAGCACACTCCAGCCACACTGGGTGTCTGCTCCTCTAGTGCACTGGGGTGCTTAAGCCACTTTGAGAGTGGCCTGGTCACTTCTAAAACCATGCTGCCAGAGGAAAAGGTGACCTGGGACAGAGTGACAGTGAACCGGTCCATCCGAAGACGCTCTAGGCAGTAGGCTGGGTCCTGCTCCAAGTCTGGCTTTGGCTGGTGAAAAATCTCGATGGCAAGCGGGCCCTCAGCAGGGAGATCCACAGGGCTGGACAGCTGTAGTCGGAGCTCAGCCCACGCCAGGTCCTCTTCTTGGCTCAGGAAGGAGAAGTCAAAAGCAAAAGTCCAGTTGTGCCCATCTACTGCCACATCTGGGTGGGAGAAGACCAGCGTGAGTAGGGGTCTCCTCCAGGCACAGTCTATCAGCTATCACAGCTCACAGTGGAGCCCTTATTGTATATGCATCATCTCTTCTTAAAAATTATTTAATTTTATTTATTCATTCATTTTATTTTTTAATTTGACCAGAAAGACATACACACACAGAAAGAGAGAGAGAGAGAAGGAAAGTGAGAAAGCAAGCCACCAGGTCTGAGACTCGAACCATGGTCGACCATGTGGGAGTTCAGTGCCCTTATCCACCACACTACCTGCCAGCCCCAATATATTCATCACCTCTTAATCCTCACCCCAGTCCTACGTGTGGGGAATACTGTTGAGTCCATCTTAGAGATGACAGACTGAGGCTCAGAGAGGTGAGTGTCATGCCTAAGGTGTCATTCGTAGAATGTGGCAGAGCTGGGAGTAAACGTGGATTTGCTAGACTGCAAATCCCAAACTCCAAATTCTGCTGATCCCACCCCTACCCCAAAATCACCTCTGCGGCCAGAGAACAACTGGTAAAAATGAGATGAGTTCGGGCCAGCAGGTACTTTAGTAGGAAAGGCCTGGACTCCCAAATGTACGACCGCAATTTGAGTCCTGAGCCCATGGCTTCAAAATCATACTGGGCAAGAGGAGACTGGAGAAGAGATTGTGGCATGGCCATCTCCCCCAGCGGGTGAGTCCTCACTTTCCCTCTCTGTCTCTCCTTGGGGAGCACATGCATCCTATGGTAAAAACTTAAAAAAAAAAAAAAAGTTATTTTAAACCCTCCCTTCTCTCCCCTCACACATGCAGTCTAAGGGCAGACCCTGAGCTTCTAACCTAAGTCAAGGCTTCCCCTCATCCTGTGACCCTGGAGCAAGCCACCTCCTCAGGCTCTGCCTTCTCACTGGAAAAGGTGGCATGTTTCACAGACACACTGAGCTGGAAGTGAGTACCACCGAACGCTCAGAGCTTCAGGGAGACAAAGGCAACAGAAGCCAGACTGGCCTCCCGCTCCCCCACTGCTCCCTAAAGAGGAAGAAACTGCTGTTTTCAGCAGCCTTACAGGTAGGTTTCTAAAGGCATTTCAGGAATGACTGCATGGGCCTCACAGTTTTCCAGCCAGTAGTCTTTCCAATCTACCCACCTGTAGGACTTACCCTTCCTGCCACCTGGGGTAGACGTGTAGCAGTCATACACACCAAGACGGCCACACCGGAACTACATGGGCATGAGAGGGAGTATATTCCATTTACTTTAGTCATGGGCTGATTTTGTCTGATGTCTGGGAACAGCACACTCGTGGATTTTCAGGTCTCCTAAGAGTGATCGTGGCCAGCCATGGTGACACAGGCAGGCAGTAGGGCACCGCTGTGTGAGACGGGCAACATGTGAAGCCTGTGTTTGGATCCTGGAGTGGCCTGAGTAGCAGCAAGTAGAGCACACCTGTAATCCTAGCTAACTGGGAGGCTGGCGTGCCTTTGGTCCTTGCTGAACTGTAGGGCACGGGGAAGATCATAGTGTAGCAAGCCTGTGTGTGTGTGGGTGGGGAGTCCCTGTCCATTTGTCCATCTGTCTCATACAAGAACAGTTTTTTAAAAGTGATCTTTTAACTTTTTTCAAACCTATGGGGTTGTTAAAAAAGTCATGATGCATTTTTGCACTGAAAAACAGAAAAAATACATCATGACTTTTCCAACAACCCCATAGTTTCCTCTTCTTTACAATAGACATAATAATACACTACTGATCTCTATTATCACAAGGACCCAGGGAAATAAAGAGGTTCAAAATAAGCCTGGATTATTCATTAGAAACAATCAGGGGCGGGACCAGCAGTTGGCGTAATGGCTATGTCACTGGACTTCCACGTAGTCGACCGCAGTTCAAGTCTCAGACCTGGTGGCTTAAACTCACGCTGGCCATGTGTGCGTTCGTGCCCAAGATCCCGAGAGGAGAATGGAAGAGAAGGGATTGTGGCGTGGCCATCCCCCTCTAGGGGGTGATTTCTCGCTTTCTGTCTCTCTCTTTCTGGCGAGTGCACATGCCCTATAGCAAAAACCTCTCAAAAAAAAAAAAAAAAGAAAGAAAGAAAGAAGCAATCAGGGGCCAGATGGTAGTACAGCTGTAACACAACTGCATCCACATGGGAAGGTCCCAGGCACATCCCAGGGCCTCTCGCACACACTAGGTACACGTGCTCAGGATCCAGGCTGGCTGAAGCAGGGGGTGGATGGCATCATGAGGACCCTGTTGGTGATGTCTGCTATCTCTCTCATGTAAGGGAAAAAGACTTAAAAGGGGGGGGGGTCAGAATCTGTAGCCCTTTGGTGCATAAATCCAGGAGTTAGGGCATGTAACAAGACGTATTATCTCAGATTAATTTTTTTTCTCCCTTCGGTCGGACAGTGAATTTCTTTGGGAAATCCAACCTGTATTACAGTGGCAATTCCCAGCCTTGGCCTCCCGGCATCTGCTCTCAACTGTCATCTCCAGCTGCTCCTTTTCACTCAATTTCCACTTTCCTCCTCGTTAGCACCTGCAGGAGGCAATAACCGGCCCCTGGCTAGCAGCTCCCCAGAGGTATAGGAGAGGCTGACATTACCCTTAACCACACTACCTTGGCCATCTGGGGCAGCAAATCTGACTACCTATACCAGGGGGTCTGAGGACAGGGAGTTTGAAGATATTTTTTTCAGTCCAGCCATGGTGAGATACGCGATAGGGTGCCTGTGCATGAGGCTGAAGCCACCCAGGGGCCCGGGGTTCAGTACCTGGGCCAACCTGAACATGCCAGGGAGGCAGCAAGCACCTACAATCCTAGCTAACTAGGAGGCTGGGGCAGAGGAGTGCAATGGCTAGACCCTGTCAGAAAGACCTTTCCCTCCTCCCTCCCTCCTCTAAATATGTGCATGAGTGTGTCTGTACATCCTCTCAAAAATGTATCTCAAGTGTCTGCAAATGGCCTTTTAAAAGAAGAGCAGAGAGGCCCCAAAGTCTCTCCATGATGGGTACACTCTTCCACTTAGTGTTTGCCATTGGTCAGTTCACTCTCCTAGCCATGCCCCCTCAGGGTGTTGTGATGGTCTGAGATAACACATGTAAGGTGCTTTGCCCAGCACAACCAAGTCAGTACACTTCGGCTGTCATTAACAGACTCATTACTGCCCAGATCCACAAATTAGCAATGAGGGAGCTGGCCATGGAGAGGGACAGAAGAGGCCACACTTTGGGTCCCCAGCCTGGGCTATGCCAGCCATGCACAGAAGTGCTCAGAATCCAGTGGGCTGGAGGAGGAGGATGGCTGTGTAGTCAGACTTTGTGGAAGGTGCTTCTCTCTCATGCTTGTCAATCAAGAAAAAAATTTTACAAATGATAAGGGTCATTACCATTAACTGCTTCCTAAGGTTCAGTAATTTACAAGCATTGTCTCCCTAAACCCTCCCACTGTTATCACCACTTTGCAGATGAGGACCCCCAAAGGTCCCAGGTGGAGAAGGTTAAACAGAGACAGATGCAAACCCCACCTGCCACTGTGACACTGGCTAATGCTACCATGGTGCAGTTAGGAATGAACCCCAGCGGGAAAGGAGCGAGTTTAGGATAGCCCTTCTCCCCTGTCTCTCCAGGCAGGCTCTTCTTGCTTCTCTTAGAAAATAAAGCCAATTCACACCAGCGTGAATGTAATTCAATGTCCCTGTACACTTAAGACTTGTTCAATGTTAGTTTTTTCTTTTTTTAAAAAAAAACTATTATTTTATTTAACTTTATTAGTACTATTTTCCAGTTTGATCAGAGAGAGACAGAGAGAGGGAAAGTGAGAAAGCAAGCCACCAGGTCCAGGACTTGAACCGCGGTGGGCCATGTGGGAGTCCAGCGCCTTTATCACCATGCACCTGGCAGCCCCAATGTCAGCTTTGTTATGTATATTTACATACACACCTACAGGCAGAGGCAGAAAGAAAGCATTCTTCCCATTCACAAAAGGGAAAGGAGACAAATCAAGTGATGTGGCAGGGACATTCAGGAAATGGAGGAGCTAGGGTTCAAAGACCTGAACCCGGTTTTCCAGACTCCCAATCTGTGGAATCACTGCACAAACCTTCTGGAACTTTCCAGAAAGAAGTGAACTGAAAAAGTGAGCCCGCTCCCCTTCGCTCTGTCCCACTCCCAGGCCGCTTTCTGGCAAAGGAGCCCAGCACTCCGGCAAATAACACATTGCCCAGCTCTCCAGGGTGTCCCAGTCTGGCTGGTCCCCAGTGACCCTTCCGGAGAGGGTCATCGGAGAGGGTCATCGTCCATCTGATCTCAGACTGGGGAGCTCCGGGGCAAGGAGCCCCGCCCCCAGGCCGTGAGGGGTTAGGCGGGCGGCCTGTCGGATCAGATAATCGGATGTGGATTGGGCCCCAGGCCAGGGGGAGGACCGTCTGGCTCCCGCGGGCGAAGAGAGGTGCGGGGCGGCTGAGGCCGCTCAGCCCGCGCTATGTTGATTGCGCTGGGGAAGGGAGTCCCGAGTCCGGGCTCCCACTCTGCACCCATCCGCCCGCCGCGCTCAGTGCCCAGAACGCGCCTCTGTGTCCCCGAGAGCGATTCGCTCTGGTCACTGCGGTCCCTGACACTCTCGCCCTCCTCCAAATACAGGCCCGAAACTCGGAGCCACTCGGGACACCTGACGCTTCCCCAGCCTGGGCTCAAGTATGCAAGGCTGTTTCAATACTCGGATTTCAGGGAATCCCACCCTTAACCTTGTGTCTGTGGGTTCTGACACCTGATATTACCTGTTGCCACCTGAGACACTCCCAGTGCCAGATCCCGGGACCCATTCACCCTCACTTGGAAGAAGAAAACTGGGGCAGAACAAGATACTTTGAGCAAACATAACGACCGCCTGTGCTGAGTGTTTTATATGTGCGTTGTCACCTTACCCTCTCCACAGTCTCATAAGAAGGCGGTACATATTATCCCTATTTTACAGATGTGCAAACGGAGTCGCCCAAGAGGCGCAGTCAGGTTACCCCACAGGACTGCTCTTGACCCACTCAGAACTAAGACCCTGGTCGGGATTCAAACCTGAACGCTGCAATCTCCTTCCCACTCGGCCACAGATACTCCCAACCACCAACCCTGTGCCCCAAACCTGCACACTCAGAAACACCTGCAGAACCAGACCCTGGACGCGAACCTCCGAGCCCTGGGATCGATACATTTTGGGCGGCGGCGTCCCCAGCACCAAGCCCAGAGCACTTCCGGAATCCAGAGGCGAGACACTGCCCGAGAAGCCCAGGGGTGCTCTGCGGGGCGGGGCAGCCTACCTTGTGCCTGCAGGCTGCGGACGATGTCCGCCCGGGGCAGTGGGTCGCTGTAGAGGCTCAGCATGTACGCCAGTGGGGACGGCGACGAGGGCTGCCCTCGCGCTCCTAGGGGTACAGTGGCCACCGTCGCGGCGCCCGCCTGGAGCAGGGCCCACCAGGCGTGCAGGAGGAGTAGCGGCGGGCGGTAGGTGCACATGGCAGGCAGGCCGGGCTGAAGGCAGCGCCTCCGCGCCTTATATCCTGGGCTCCGCAACTGCCCCGCCTCCGCCCATCCTCCCTCCGGGAAGCTTTAGGATCATATGACCCCACCCAGAGGGACCCCTGCTGAGGAGCGGCGGAGACTTGAGCCCGGCGGAGAAGGGGTCCGCAAAGCTGGAGGAGGCCTTAGATCAGGGACCAGACTGGAGGTCCACTGATTGGGTCTGGGCACTGCTCCTTTGCTGAGACTGCAGACTGTCCCCGCGAACTCCCAGGCATAATTGTGGCTTCCTTTCTCTGCCTTACCTGGAAGCCCTACCCCTTCCTCTCCCAGGGGCTCCAAATAGATGTCTGGTTCATGAAGAAGCAGGTAGGGAATGAGTGGACCTGGGGGCTCTCAGGCCGGCTGTGGCCCCACACAGGTCTGGGAGGCTTTGGCCTAGGTCGGCAGGGCACAGCCTTCTTAGGCGCGTCCTCTGGGAGCACCCTGGCCTCATCTAGCCGGGCAAGTGTGGAGAGCTACCTTCCAGGTACAGGGGTACTGGGGGTGGCAGGAACAAAGGAACACTCCAGGTGAAGGTCCGTGGGGCAATTCCAGCTTCAAATCCTGAAGTGCTCTCCTGGGGAAGCCTTCTCCATCTGAAAAGGGAGTGTTCAGCTAAGCCGCAGCCCAGGGCATAGCGATCAGGGCAACCCGGACAGCAAGCTCTTCCCTGGCAGGCACATCTCACCTCAGTGATTGCAGGAAAAAAGGTGCTGCCCTTGCTGCCCGCATGCTGCAACCCCTGCTGCTGGCGGGGTCACTGGCGACCTGGATGGCAACCCCTGCTGCTAGCGGGGCCACCGGCGACCTGGATGGCAGCTCACACCACCAGCTTCCGTGACTCCAGGCTTTGCCTCCCTTCCAGGTGTAGAATCAGGTCTGGGCTGGAATTGCCTTTAAAGAAATGTAAATCCCTGTTCTGGTGTCAGGCCCCTTCTGTTCTGGGCTACTTTGGAGGGCTTTCTCCTCCTGAAGGCTGAACCCCGCCCCCTCCTAGCCTTGGCGAGGGCTTTAGCAGCTCGCAAGGGTTTACTGAACACTTACTTTGTTCCAGGCACGGTGCTAAGTGCTTTACACACGTGACTTCTTTCACGGGCCGTCTCCAGCTCCTAAGAACCCCTGGCTTAGACCTAAGCAGGTGTTAGAAAGTAAAAGGAGGCCCAGCTGGAAGGAGCCTCACCTCAAATCAGGAGACCCAGGCATGGACAGTCCGCATGCCCAGCCACCTGTTAGTTTCTTAAAGCTGGACCTGCCTGGTTTGCCTGCTCTCTGCAGCACAGGTCGTATTTGCTAGGTAAGTGAATCAGTGAAGGGACTGTGTCTGGACTTGTCCGAGGGTAAGCGGTACCTAGGGTGTTAAACCATTCATTCCTGGGTCCCAGTCCAGGCCTTCAGAATTAACATTTGGACAGAGGGGCTTGGTAATCTACATATTTAACAAACACCACAATGATTCATTGTTAAAAGCACACATCCTTTTTTTTAAAGAATTATTTTATGTGATGTATTATTGCTATTTAATTTGACCAGAGAGAGAGCAAGCGGCAGGTCTGGGACTCAAACTGCAGTTGGCCATGTGGGAGTCCTGTGCCTTCACCACCACACCGCCTGCCAGCCCCCTCACAACGATTCTGACGAAGGACTCTGGGAACCTGTGGAGACTAGGATTCTGGTAGTTGCAGTGTGTACTCCACCTCTCATTTAGTTTCCTCACTTGTCCAGCATGGCTGCAGATACCTCTCCCCATGCTGAGTAAACGAAACGAATGTCAAAATACTTCGTAAACTCTGGGACCAGCAGATGGCATAAAGGTTGTGTCTCTGGACTCCCAACTGCGGTTCGAATCCCAGACCTAGCAGTTTACAACTCACACCAAATGAGTATGCCTGTGTGCCCTAAATCCGAAGAGGAGAATAGAGGAGAAGGGGTTGTGGTGTGGCCATCCGCCTACTCTGGGAGGTGACTTTTCACTTTCTGTCTCTCTGTTTCTCTGTCTCTGTCTCTCCAGCAAACACATTGATCCTCTAGTAAAAATCTCTCTAAAAAATACTTCATAAACTCTAACATATGATAAAAATCATAAAGGGTAATAGATGCAGGTATTATGATGGGTTGCTCTGTGGTTGTCATCAGTCTTCGTCAGCCTGGGAGCTCACCAGCTGAGAGTTGTCAGCCCCAGCTCCCTGAATCAGACCCTTCCCCAGAGGAAGAAGGCACCACACCCAAGTTATTCATACATAAATAAAACAATGATAGGGACTAGTAGATCTCTGGGCTCCCATGTAGTCAACTGTGTTTCAAGTCTTGGGTCCAGCAGCTTGGAATTCATGCTGGGCACATGTGCATACGTGCCCCAAATCCAGAGAGGACAATGAAGGAGAAAGGATTGAGGCATGGCCATCCCCCTGGGGGTTGATTTCTTACTCTCTGTCTCTCTTTCTCTCTCTGTCTCTCCGGTGAGTGCATGCATCCTAATAGCAAAAATCTCTCTAAAAAATTTATTAAAAAATAAAATAAAACTGTGCTAAGTTGTGGTTAGTGCCTGGGAATCCTTGACCAGGACACAGCACCAAGAAGGCACCAGAGGGAAGGTATAGACAGCTAGAAGGAGGTGCAGGGGTCAGCCTCAGTAGAGTCAATGCCAGGCATCCCAAGTCACTACGTGTCCTAGGTGGTCTCTGTATCAACAGCAATGTTCAGCAAGAACGGAGCAGCCTTATCCACCAGGGCTAGGGAAGGAATAAAAAAGATGACATTTGGCATCAGTAGGTGGTGTGGTGGTTAAAGCATGGGATCCCGCATGGTGAATTCTGCATTTCGAGTTCTGGATCCAGTGGCTTGAATAACATGCCAGACATATGTGTGTGCATGCACACACACATGTGCCCAAAATCCCAAGAAGAGAATAGGGGAGATGGGATTGCACGTGTCCATTCCCTCTCTTTCTGTCTCTCTGGTGAGCACACAGATCCTATGGCAAAAAAAATCTTAGAAAAAAAAAGAGAACATATTGATTTTTCATACTGGACCACAAGCTTCTTGAAATTGAGGCTAGGTGGCGTGGTAGTTAAAATGCTGGACTCCTACATGGTCACCTGCAGTTCAAGTCCTGGACCTGGTGGCTTGCTTTCTCACTTTCCCTCTCTCTATATATCTGTTTCTCTCTGGTGAGTGCATGTGCCCTGCAGCAAATTAAAAATAATACTAATAATGCTAAAATTAAATACATCTTTTAAAAAATGAAGGCTAGAGCTTTATACACCCTTGGCCCTTGCACTATGTGGCACACGGCTGGTGTTCAGTAACTGTTTAGGTGAAAATAAATAGCAATATCTAACATTTATTGTGCATCGAATGCATCAGGCATCCTGCTAACCATGGCACTGATTGTCATTTTCCCCACGGTGGAGACGAGACTACAGAAGCTCAGGGAACGAGATGACTCACTCTCTGGAGGCTCCAAATGAATGAGCAGAAACAGCCACCATGTCAGATGACAGGTGTGCTTGTCATGTGAACCCATGCTTTCCGCCCCTTTCGCTTCCCTATAGGAGGCGTGAATCTGCCTTGTACTGAGATTTATATTTGTGTGTGTGTGTCAGAGAGTGTGTGCACTCACCAGAGGGAGAGCGAGAAGGAGAAAGCATGCCCCGATGGGGCATGGTCGCATCTCAATCCCTTCTCTTCTACCCTCTGTCCTGTCAGGACCCTGAGCACGCACGCATATGTGCCTGCCATGTTCCTCAAGCGCTGGGGCTGGGACTTGAAACACATGGCTGGACCCAGCTTCTCAACCACCAGGCCACAGGCTGGCCCCTAAGACGTTTTTAGAAAACTCGCAGAGCCTTGCCTTTCCCATTCTGGCAGCTGCAGACAGCTCATTTCTGATGTGTATTGGCCCCGAACCCTGTGGGGACCTGGAATTTCTCTGACCAGCAAGTGTCTGTCCATCTCTGAACTCTGTTTTTGGCATCCTGGAAGAACTCAAATCTCTATCACCCCTTCAGAATAGAGGCTAACAGTTCCCTTCTCACTTTCTGTGGACATTAGTTAGTCTGGGATCTGTTTCCTGCAAGAAAGACCAGAAGTGCCGTTTTCCCAGGAGGGAATGACACCCTTTCGTTTCCCCTGCCCCAGACAGACTGACCGGCAGATTACCTGACCTGGGAGATAACCTCTGAGGGCTATCCCAGCTGGCTGGAGGGTGGGGACAAAGTCCCTTGAAGTTCTCCAATGCTGTTCAGGACCCTCCCTCCCCAAGAATGGCAGTGTGTGTAGAAGTTAAGGGCTCCGACTCTGAGGTCAGGCCTCCAGGAGGCAGAATCTGGAGCCTTCTCCATTGCATCCTACCTGGGCATCTTGGACCATCTCAAGGCTGCTGCTTGCTCAGCTGTTCAACAGAGACGAGTAACATCTGCTTGACAGGAAGGTTGTCAGTAGTAACCAGGTGTAAAGGGCATAGCATATGGTTGGTCACTTACTCGTTCCTGGAACAAGCCTGCTTGTCTGGTGAGTCTACAGCACTTAACTCAGAGAGTCTCAGGGAGTCAAGATGTCTTTAAGGAGCATTTCCTGTAGCCAGTGTGATGCTGGCTGCCCTCACATACATGTTAGCCTATGTAAGTCCATGTCATTCTATTTACCCCTTATTGAAGCTCTGCAGTATAAGGCACTTCAAAGATGAGAAACTGAGCTATAGAGGAGTTACATGACGCAGGCTTTGAGACGGTAGAAGTCATGTGCTTTATTGTATCTGCCCAGCACCTAGTATAGCTCCAGCACACAGATACTCAGTTTTACCAAGTGATTCAATGAATTCCCCACTCCTGAAGCAAGGTCCAAAAAACCTTTGACTTTCATCTGCTCTTTTCTCCTGCTGTTTCCACTTTATCTCCCTGGCAAACTCCTACTCATCTATCAAGACCCAATTTAAAAGTCCCTTCCTTCACAATTCT